ACCACCTCCACCATCACCATCACCACCACTGTCTCCACCCCACCACTCCCACTGTGATCATGACCACCTCCACCATCACCATCACTACCACCCTTAGACACCACACCATTGCCTCCTCCCAATAACCATCACTACCTCCATGACAGCAGTTAATAATTGTCAGTCATTTCTCTAACCACTTTTTGGTCTTTCCCTTGCTCCTTAATAAAGCTCACAATTCTTCTATAGTTATTGTCAATCAGGGAAGTGGCTTGAAGGGGCGGAGCTAAGATTCAAGTAGGAAACAGCAGAAGGGCTGCCTGTTGGTTGAGAAGAAAAGCCGGTCTGGAGATGGGATAGTTCAGGATTCCCTTGTTTTAGGGTTATTTATCTCACAAATAATTGAAATGTTAACACAGATTCAAGCCGCCTCCTTTTCCGAGCGGAAGACATTTGGAATGACCTGTCTTCACCCGGGCAGTCACCATGCAACTGTAGGCTGGCATCTTTCTGCCCCCTGCTCTCTTTGGATTTGTGACTTTTGGGAGGGGGTATAACAAGATATTAGATAGCATAAATGAAATTACTGACAAACAGGGCGTTTGTCCTTGAAACAAAAAGTATTAGAAAAATTCTGGAGTTTTTCCCATACTTCTGCCTAATGATGATTATTTGATGAGTTCTTACAATGTGCCAAGCACGTCTGAAATATATTAAGTCATCTAATCCTCACATCTTGATTTTTCTAATCCTTGTTTTGCTTACGAGAGAATAGAGTCAGAGTGGTGAGTTCACAGGTAGTATAGACCTGAGATTTGAATTCAGGGCTAGCCCACTGGTCCTTAGCTAGTGACGATTTTGCCCTCCATGGGACATTTGGCAATGTCTGAAACATTTCCAGTTGTCACAGCTGGGGGATGCTAATGGTATCTCATGGATAGAGGCCAGGATGTGGAGGACTCCTGGAGTGCACCATTCAGTCCCAAATGTCACCAGTGTCAAGGTTGAGGACAAAATTCACAGCTTAGCCTGCTAATGGGTAGACTGGTCTGAGTGCTATCCAAGGGTTTATATTGGCTGACCCAGTTTTTTCACTTTGCTTTTAGGTTGCATGTTTCAAAAAAAGGAAGCAGGCAGGTTAACCATCCAAGCGAGGTTACGGCTCTCCCTTGTCACACAGGGCATCCCCAAGGCAGGCCAGCATTTTCATAACATCACATTTTCCACTTCCCAGCAGTCCTCAGGTAACCACACAGGAGTCTGAGTGCCACGGGGGTCTGGGTGTCCACAGCGTGTCTTGCCTCATGTTGGTAAGAATCTACCAGAGTCAGATGTCTCATACACCCAGTTTCACTCACTCCTTAACCAAACCCTGCAGAGATACTACTGTCCCCATTTCACAGATGGGAAGACTAAGGATACATGAGGTTGAATCAGATTTTGAACTTAGGTGTTTCTGAGCCACAGGCCAATGTTCTTTCCTCTCCTCAAGGCAGCCTCAACTCCCTCCCTGATTTCTGAATTCCTGAAGACAAATCAAGAACAACAGTTTCTGTTTTTCTTCAAGACTCAGGGTCTCATAAGGGGGAGGGGAGTGTGGCAGCAGAAGCCACCCTCCACCGTGTGGCTGCTCTGCCCTGGCGTCCACCGGGCAGCCCCCTCACTGGGACCACAGCTGGCCTCTCTCTCCAGGCTTTGTCTCTCTTCTGATCTACTTCAAAGACTTGACTGTGTGTCCTTCCACTCAAACTACTGAAGTTGAAGTGTTGGGCAGAGCCCTGTTTTGTCTAGATTTGCTTTTACTTTCTTAGACATTAACCCATTACTCACTTCAGAGAAAGCAAAACTTTTTTTTCCTTGAATTTTAAAAGTTGCACAAGTAGAACACAAATGCACGTTCTGCGTAGAAAACTCAAACAGTGTGGGCAAACTCAAAATCCCCCTTGGCCCAGGCCCCTTCTCCCACTTCCACCCCCGCGTTGAGGTGACCAGCATGGCCCATTGGGTTTAAATCCTTGTGGTCTGATTTCCTCGTGGAGACTTCCATCAGAGCTTCTATATCATCCTGCCATTTGCTTTTCCACCTAACAGTAGCCTTGGAGATCTTTCCAGAGCAGTGCTCACACCCTAGAATAGAATTCTGCACCACTGCAGTCCACCAACTCTCTATGTTTATGTTTATGTTTATGTTTATGTGATTTTCCTTTTTTTTTTTTTGAGATGGAGTCTCACTCCAGTCACCCAGGCTGGAGTGCAGTGGTGCAAAATCTGGGCTCACTGCAACCTCTGTCTCCCGGATTCAAGCAATTCTCCTGCCTCAGCCTCCTGAGTAGCTGGGATTACAGGTGCCTGCCACCATGCCTGGCTGATTTTTGTATTTTTAGTAGAGATCGGGTTTCACCATGTTGGTCAGGTTGATCTCAAACTTCTGACCTCAGGTGATCCGCCTGCCTCTGACTCCCAAAGTGCTGGGAGTACAGGCATGCGCCACTGCACCCGCCTGCTTATGTGATTTTCAACGTTTTTTTTTTCCACTCTTTATGTACTTATAGTCCCTAGGAAGCCACCTACTTATGGAACTGCGGGCTTGAGGAATGCCTGTAGTCAACATTTTCATGCAAACGACCAAACTGCTTTTCAGAAAATCCATTTCCATTCTCAACAGCAGAGTGATCCCTTGTGAGCACCCCTTCCACCCCACACCCTAGCCAGGTCCTGACTCAACCGTCAACTTTAGCATCAACGTTTTGTCCATCTAATAGGAAGAAGAGGTCTCCTAGTGTTGAATGTCATTTCCTGGTTACTAACAAGGTGAGGTTGAACACATTTTCATCTCGATATTGGCTACTCCTTGTCCTTCTTCAGTGAACCGCCTTGTTTATAGCCTTTCCACATTGTAAAAATTGGATTCTTTTTACTTAATTATTTGTAGGAGTTTTAAAAAAAACATGGCCAGGTATGGTGGCTCCCACCTGTAATCCCGGCACTTTAGGAGGTTGAGGCAGGAAGATTGCTTGAGGCCAGGAGTTTGAGACCAACCTGGGCAACACAGTGAGACCTGTCTCTACAAAAAAAATTTTAAAAGGAGACTGGCATGGTGGCATGCACCTGCAATCCCCAGATATTAGTTGGTGCAAAAGTAACTATGGTTTTAATACATGGGAGGATCAGGTGGGGTGGATCGCTTCAGCCCCGATGTTTGAGGATGCAATGAGCTGTGACTGCACCTCTGCACTCCAGCCTGGGCGACAAAGCAAGACCATGTCTCAAATAATAATAACAATAAATGTGTTAATACTTCGTCTTTAATCCTTTGTCCCTAATCTTTGTTGCAGGTATTTTCTCCTGAGATATAGCTTTTGCTTTTTTAAAAAAAAAACTGTTAAAACTTTGCTCATGACACCTTTTGATACACAGATCTTTGCTTCATGGACAACACGACATTGGCCTGTGAGCAGGTGCGGGGGTTGGTGGCACCTTCATCCTGCTCCTCCTGGGACAAGAGGCAGGATCAAGAGTTTAGGCGCCCTCTGTTTTTCTTTCCTTTCAGTTTCTGGTAAGAAATGATGGGAACAGGCCCTACTTGCCCCCTTATTTGACACAAATAAGTCTTGCTGATGGGTGCATAATTTGAAATCTTTATTCCTCAAATCAAAAGCTGGCATTGGGAGATGGTTTCCCGGGATGGCCAGGGGCTGAGGCTCCCACCCCAGCGTACCTGCTTGCTGTTGCCCAGCGAACTTGCGGTGGGCAGTGCTCCGATCTTCCTCCTGAGCCCTTGGGACTGGCTAACTCAATCCTCCTCCCTGATGTATTAATCATACCTTTTCAACCCCAAGACCGTTTACCTGAAGACGTGGACGGAGGCCCGGGGACAGCTGCTGGTCAAATAACCTCTGCAGAGACTCCAGGGATGGGAGGGTCCGGACAACTTCGCTGGGGGTGGGGGACAAGGTGAACGTCAAGAATTAATGGGAGCTGGGAAGAGTCTTTCAAGGCAGCAGGGGCTCCAGCTGGAGACCAGGTCACCCTCGATCCAGCAGAAGCAGATAATTCTTCCCAGACAGACAAGCCCGGGCAAAGATCAAGGCTTGCCAGCACTGGCCCACCCACACTCGACCCCCATCCCTTCCTGACCCGCAGCAAACTGCAATTGATATGTCGTCCTGATTTTACCTGGGTTTTGCTTTAGCCAAACTACAGCCTGTAGAAAATTCAAATCTAGAGTCACAAAATGACTTTACTTAGTCATCCATGGTTCCCAAGCTTCCGTGTTTATAAGAATCACACACACACATACACACACACACACAGGTGTTAACAATGCAAATTTCTGGGCTCCAGCCTGATTGAGTCTGGAATCTGCATTTTAAATATTAGGGCTGCCCAGTGCTAGTGTGATATTGTGCTGGCCTAGAGCCAGAACCGGAGCAAAACTATTTTATAAAATGCAAAACTGTTTTTAGATAAGTTGAAATGGCTGCCCCATTCTCCTTACAATAACTACTGTCCTTGGCCTCTGTAAATAGAACTGCTAGTTTGTTCTTCAAAACTATGTAAAGCTGCCTACCTTTTCTTATCAGTAACTGCTAAAATCTGTGATGTGTAAACAAATGTATATCTTGACTTCGGTAAACCACTGAGGTGAATCACAGAATCCCCTAGCCCTTGGAATGTCCGGAGACCCCCGCCCTTGTCTCCACCCAGGAGGTGAATCACAGAATCCCGTAGCCCTTGAAATGTCCGAAACCTTATCATCCCCATCCCCGCCCCTCACCCCCACTCCCAAGGTGGTTTTTCGGGTATAAAAAATCATGGCACCCTCCTTTTGGCACCACAGGTTGGAGAGACGTGAGTCCTCTGTGGTCGCCGGCATAATAAATGACCCTGCAATCTGGCATACTTTTGTCTTGTGGTAACTTTCTACGCTCCGGTCAAATACAACACTAGTGATCTGTGGATTCTGATGCGAATCCCCTCCTAGCAGCCCACATGCGGCTCAGAGGGATTTTCCCATTGTTACAGCCATTGACAACTCGGATCCTCGATCCTGATCCTCGGCTGTACCCACTCTGCTCACAGCTCATCTTTCTCCATTGTTTTAAGCATGGTGGGGCAGACAATTTTGAGTTCTACTTTTCACTTACTGTTTCATCAAAAATTGTCCCTTTTTTACCATACTTAACATTTTAATGATTTCAATCTAGTCTATCAAGTAAATGTGCTGAAATCAATTGCTATATATTTGGGTTACTTTGAGATCTTTGTTATATAAATAAGGGCTGCTTTGAACAGCTTTGTTCACATAGCTTTCTCATTTTTAATCACAGGATTAGGATAATCAGAGATTATGGTTCTTGATCACGATTGCCAACCCTGTGAGTGATGGGACTGATGATATCACCAGCATTGTTCAGACCTGATCAGCCAAATGCTCCAATGACTGCACTTCCGTTCTTTCTCTCTCTTTTAAGGGGTATAACACCGTACTTTAAGATGGAAGAATAAATTTGCATGTCTTTAATTTCTAATGTCATTAATTGTTTTTCTACTGCTAATTTCTAGCTAATGGCTACTGCATTTCTCTTTGTATAAACTGTTTTTCCTCCCTTGCCAATTTATGTTGGGAATTTTGTTCGTATTTTTAACATTGTTTATAAACTTTACATATTGCTTTTTTTTTTTTTTTTTTTTTTTTCGGGCCCTTTTTTTTTTTTCTTTGTTTTTTTTTTTTTGGGCAATCTCGGCTTCCTGCACCCTTCGCCTCCTGGGTTCAAGTGGTTCTCCTGCCTCAATCTCCCGAGTAACTGGGATTACAGGGATGTGCCACCACACCCAGCTAATTTTTGTATTTTTAGTAGACATGGGGTTTCGCCAAGTTGGCCAGGCTGGTCTCGAACTCCTGACCTCAGGTGGTCCTCCCACCTTGGCCTCCCAAACTTCTGGGATTACAGGCATGAGCCACCATGCCCAGCCTGAGCCTGCTTTGCACTTTTATTTAATGTAGGAGTTGTATTTTTTTCTCATTGCATTATTAATATATTCTCATTATATTATAATATAATCTCATTATACCATAATAATATATACTAAGATACTTTAGATACATATATATACAAATATATATATATATATATATTTGAGACAAAATTTTGCTCTTGTTGACTAGGCTGGAGTGCAATGGCGAAATCTTGGCTCACGGCAACCTCCACCTCCCAGGTTCAAGCGATTCTCCTGCCTCAGCCTCCCGAGTAGCTGGGATTACAGGCATGCACCATCACACCCAGCTAATTTTGTATTTTTAGTAGAGATGGGGTTTCTCCATGTTGGTTACGCTGGTCTTGAACTTCCGACCTCAGGTAATCTGTCTGCCTCAGCCTCCCAAAGTGCTGGCATTACAGGAGTGAGCCACTGCACTTGGCCTATAATGTATATTATATAATAACATATTCTCATTACATTTTATTAATCCTAGGTGACCTGGACTTCATTATGAAATAATACACAATTTTTTATTGTTCGAGTTTTCATTTTTTTCTTGGCAATTTTTACTTACCATAGTTAATATTTTTTCATTGGTATTTACTAGGGAGCAATTATTTGCTCATTTTAAATTGTTCTCTAACTCTTAAAGTAATCGTGTTATAAATGAGCGTTTTCATTGTTGTTGTTCTCTGGGTTTAATTCCTTACCTCATTTAGAACTTTTTTCTTTTTAACCCATTTATGCCTAATGTTGCAATTTTTTTAATTTTTGCAATCAGACCTTGGTGATGACATTGAGCTTTAGGATATAGATAACTCCCACATGCTTAGCATTCCAATAATGGAACACGAGGCATAAATGGCTAAATATGCCATGGAATATTCTTCTTTCTCTGAAGCCAGAGCTGTAGCCCTAGGGAAGCAAAGGTGAACAGGGCTGGGTCCTGCGGTAGATCTGGCCCCAGGGATAGCTGGGAGGGCTTAGATCCCTTGCTTGGTCTTTCTGAACCTCCCAGAGAGACAGCCACCTCCCTCCTTGTTCCCCTTGAGTTAATTTCCTCAAGATTCCCATTCTATTTCTGTCTAGCACATCCAGAGTCTCTGAACCCAGAACTACGGACTCAGAAGAAACGTCCTCATGCTTCCTCATGTCCTTTATTTTTGCTTCTCCAATTTTTTGCCTCTTTCTTTGGTATTACTTTGGTAAAAATTTCTCATACAGTATTTAAAAATCAGATGATAAATAGTATCGCAGGCTAAGCTCAGTGGCTTATGCCTGTAATCCCAGCACTTTGGGAGGCTGAAGCGGGCAAATCGCCTGAGATCAGGAGTTCAAGACCAGCCTGGCCAACATAGTGAAACCTTATCTCTACTATGAATACAAAAATTAGCTAGGCATGGTGGCGGACACTTGTAATTCCAGCTACTCGGGGGGCTGAGGCAGGAGAATCGCTTGAACCCAGGAGGCAGAAGTTACAGTAAGCGGAGATCACGCCACTGCACCCAACCTTGGGGACCGAGTGAGACTTCACCGTCTTCAAAAAAAAAAAAAAAAAAGTTTAATGGAATGATTTTAATGTTTTCCTATAAATTGTAACTAATTAGTTTTACATTGATTCATATTGCATTACTAAGGAAGTATCCCTCTATTCCTTTTTAAAAAAATGATTTTTAAAAATTAGAGATGAATTTAAAATGTTATCTACATAAATGGTTTCCCTTAATCTTTTAATCTACTGCAAAATTCTAGTGTTTTCTTTTTGTTGATTCACCTTTGGAGTGACCTCCTAGATAAAGCCTGCATTTTTCATGTCACCAAATTATATTTGCTGGGATGTTACTGAAACAATCTACATTTATATTAATAAGTGAGATTGGAGATAGTGCTATTTCAGGCTATCTTGATTAGCTTTTGGATTTGAATCATATTTTTCTTGAAGAGTGAATTAGAAGATTTTCTTGTCATTCAGGAATAATCTATACCCTATGTTCACTATTTTTTCCTTGAAAGTTTAAAGGATATGCCTGGTACTTTTAATGTTTTATATTTTATGTAAAGTATTCGTTCCATTTAATTATAACTTGAAGATTTGTAGCTACATAACTGTACACTATTTAGTGACTTGCAAATCTTTAATGCAGATTATTAAATATCCTTTAACATTTCTAGTGTTTAAAAATTTCTTAATTGACTGTTTTTCCTGATGTATCTGTTTTTATTTTTAGCATCTTGTCCTCTTCTTCTCCTTTCTGGTTGCTGTTATTGCTCAGCAGAGATTTCTTAAGGATTCTGTTTTATTCACTGCTCTATCTCCAGCTCCTGGAACTATGTGCCTGGCACATAGTTGGTACACATTTGATCTTTGTTCATGAATATTGAATAAATTAATGTTTCAGAGTCCTAAATTAACTTTGCTGGGTTAAAATTAACTTTGCTGGGTCCTGGAAACATCAAGGGGATTAGGACATGACCCGTGGTGTCTTCAAGAGACTTACAAGCTGGACTCGGTTTGTACGTTTGACTTGTTATTCTGTTTACTTTTTTTTTTTTTTTTTTTTTTTTTTTTTTTTTTCTGAGAAGGAGTCTCGCTCTGTCACCCAGGCTGGAGTGCAGTGACATGATCTTGGCTCACTGCAACCTCTGTCTCCCCAGTTCAAATGATTCTCCTACCTCAGCCTTCCGAGTAGCTGTGATTATAGGCACACACCACCATGCCTAGCTAATTTTTGTGTTTTTAGTAGAGACAGGGTTTCACCATGTTGGCCAGGCTGGTCTCAAACCCCTGACCTCAGGTAATCTGTCTACCTTGGCCTCCCAAAGTGCTGTGATTAATGGCATGAGTCATCACACCTGACCTTCTATTTACTTTTTAATGATAGAACTTTTAAAGCTATGGTTTTTCCTCTAAGTAGTGCTTTGGCTGCATCACATAGTGTTCTGCTTTGCAGTGG